AAATACATGCATATAATTATTTTAAAAGTTTGAATAAATTACCTGGCTTGTATTACTTTAAAATTTGTTTCCATTTACTAGCATTAATGGTTATTTTTCAATAAAAAGTGTTTGTATCATTGAAAGTTCTGTTATGTTTTGACAACAAAAGGTGATGATTAATTCAGAGAAATGTATGAGTTGTTTTTTCTAAACTAAAACATCAATATTCAGATTTACTTGCAGTGTTGGCACTTCAAAAGTGATAATTTGGTTTTGTGTCGCTGTTTGGGCACTTGGGCTCAAAAAGTTTAGCCATCACTGCTCTAGACGATCGAATGGTTCAAAGGATAGCTATAAAAATGCTATAACAGGTTCTCCCCATGTATTATAACTAGTACACAATTAATTATCTGTTATACACATTTTTAAAATGCATTTTGTATATTTTAGCCATTTAATATGATTTATGTGATGGTCACCTGACTGTAATAAATAAATTCAAGAGAGGGAAAAAGGCTCAAAGCAGGGAAGAGGGGCTCTATTTTAAATCAAAGTCAAGAGGGAACTATTAGTTAAAACTGAATAGACTGATAGACCAAGCCCAAAAGGTTCCTTCCTGTCAAATAAACTGCGGGAAGCAAACAAGGTTATAAAAACTCCAACAATAATATCCATCACTGCCATTAAAATTTATTTCACAGCCAACAGAATTATAACAGAAACAATATCAGTCTTGGAATTCCTCACTTTTTCTTCTCTTGAATTTCAGTTGTCCAAACAGTATGGTCCTGTCTTCAGCCTCCAGTTGGGACTCCAGAAGATGGTGGTCCTGACTGGGTATGAGACGGTAAAAGAGGCTCTGATCAACCAGGCTGATGCATTTGCGGAGAGACCCTTCGTCCCAGTCTTTGAAGAACATGCAAATGGCTATGGTGAAGTCCTTTCTCTCGGCAACCCTCTCTTATCTTAGCTAGTCCCAAAAGCAGCAGGTTAACAATTGGATGTAACCTATTGACTGCTCAGGGTATGAGTTGCACTAAAAATCATAGAATAGGGTGATATGGATTTCAATAGATGGGGAGGAGCACAAGCCAAAAGAAGGAAACTGAGGTAAGAATTCCCACCATTGGAAGGACTGAGGGAGCTGGTGAAGGGTAGGTAATGAATGTAGGAGTCAGATCTGAAGGCAACTCTAAATATGAACAGAAGAGACACAACAACAGAGGCTATGCATTATAGGTAAAAGAAAGAAAAACATTCAGTTTCATAGGGCATCACAAGGGAAGTAATGGAGGTGATTTCAATGGATGGAATGAACAAACTAAGGGGTCAGCCACATGTAAGAAAAGAACTCCATTTATACCAATTCTTTTCATTCCTCTCTTATATTGAAATATTTTCCCCCAACAGTTAATTTATACATATAGTCTTGGACTATATATATAAGGAAAGTCCAAGACTATTTATTTATTTATTTATTTATTTATTTATTTATTTATTTATTTATTTATTTATTTATTTATTTATTTATTTATTTGCTTACTTATATCCCACCCATCTGGTCTGATCGACCACTCTGGGCGGCTTCCAATAAGGTGTACTGTATATGATAAAACATAAGAATTTTACAAACAGTCCATAACACATACAATAATAAAACAAATAATAAATGAAAGAAAAAATAAAGAAAGAATTAAATATTGACAGGAGGGAAGGCCTGAACATACAACCATGTTTTTAGTTGACTCTTAAAAGTGCCCAGTGTAGGGGCCGCACAAATAACCAGAGGAAGGTTATTCCAGAGGCGAGGAGCCACCGCCGAGAAGGCCTGGTTTCGTGTCCTTTCCTTCCGGGCCTCCCTCGGCGTTAGGCTCCTCAGCCTCACCTCCTGGCTCATGCGGGTGATCTGAGTAGATCTAGGTGGGAGCAGGCGTTCCGGCAAGTATCGGGATCCTAAACTGATATATATACATACATACATACAGAGAGAGAGAGAGAGAGAGAGAGAGAGTAGTGCCTCGCTTAGCGATCACTCAGTTTAACGATGAAATCGCTTAGCGACACATTTTTTGCGATCGCTTTGCGATGTTCTGTATGGAGAAAATTTGCTTTGCGATGATCGTGGGGAAGCGGTCATCACAAAGCCCCCATTTTCGGCCAGCTGATGGGCGGTTCCAAAACGGCCACTGGGTAAACAAAATGGCCACCCGCTGTGTTTAGGGATGGATTCCTCGCTTAAGAGGCAGCGAAAATGGCCACCGTATGGAGGATCTTTGCTTAAAGGTTAATTTTAAGCCCATAGGAACGCATTGAAGGTTTCTATGGGCTTTTTAAAATCGCTTAGCGATGTTTTCGTTCTGCAGCGATTTTTGCGGAACGGATTAACGTTGCTAAGTGAGGCATCACTGTATATCATTTGGACCATTTACATTGTTTAAAACTATGTCGATTCATTTCCTTCTATTTGAATTGTTAAATCAAGCTACTCTGCTCTTGAATTTTGTATCAATTCCCTTTTGCCTACTGTTTCTTAGGGTAATCAGTTTCCATCTTGTCCTTCTTTTATATCAATATATCGATACAGCAATATATGCCTTCGCTCTCCTTACCCTTTTTCCTGCCCTCACTCATCCCCATTTCCTTATTCTCCTGCAAATCTCTCTCACTCAGTTACTGGCTTTCATTTTTATTTTCCATTTTGCACAGAGTCCAGAGGAGGAAGTGGGTTTAAAAAGATTTGCAAAGTGTTCTGAAGAGCAGGGTTAACAGAAGTGAAAGAGGAGACAATCATACAACCCTCCTTTCTTTACATTTCAAAGCAGGAAATGTCACTTTCTTGGCTTAAACCTTCTTTCACCCACAAAGGAAGGGGAAAGGTTGTCTCCTGAGCAACATATTCATATTGGTTTTGTTGTGGCAGTGGCTGCAACTAGAGATTCACTGATATCCCTTTAAAAATTAAAGGATCCAAGCGTAGTGATCTTGAGGTGGCCACAGCACCCCAAAACCTGACCCCTTTGCAAAGGAAGTAAATCAACAGCAACATTCACATGTGCTGAAATGATAATGAGTGAAGCGATACATCATTGGTATAATTTAAAACCACCCTCCCAGCAAGGAGGAAATAAACCAATTGCCAGGACAAATGAATCAATGTTAGTCTTGAGTCATGTGAATGGAAATAATTGGAAGAATCCAAATAATGGCCAGAATGGTATAACTGGGGTTCTTTTGGCATGTGTAAAACCGTAGGTGAACCTTTGATTGATAGATGGAACAAATCAGTGCTCTCAAAATTTGCTTCATTCAGCCAAGTCCCCCAATCTTCTACAGCACTAAAGACATCTTCTCACTTTAACTACAGGGTGGGTGGTTTTCATTTGGAGCTAACTAGAAACTTTGCCTTGCTGTCTCCTCAGGGTATCATTGCTTCTCATGGTGATGCAGAGGTTTGCCTTGACCACATTGCTGGACCATGGGATGACAAGAGATCCATAGAAGACAAAATTGTTTCTTCCTTCCTTTGCTCCAACACTGTGTTCCTAACAGCTCCAAGGCTACTTTCACTAGCCTAACTGTCTAAATTCAGTTCTAATGCCCTCCGTTGCCTCTCCTGCTAACTATAGGGCATTTCCTTAATTATGCTTAATCTAATCATCTCAGCTCCTCTACTACCTTCTAAATTTAATCACATTTTCTACCACTTAACTTCAAAGTTATCATTTGTGGCTTCACTTGTAAAATCTCTGAGACCTGTTTGAGGCACTGCTGATCTGATCCTTAATCCTCCTCATGGCCCATTCAACTCAGAATAGCTTCCTCCCATTCAGGTGTGAGGCTTCGTTTCCTCTCGAGGAAAATTGGGTATTTGCATATCAGAGTCCTCATTTGCAATACTCCAGGCCTGTAAGACTGTAGCCAACTTGACTTCTTAGATATGCTCATTCTTTAAACTCTTTCTTTGAAGTCTTATCTTCCCATGGGAATCAAATTCTAGCTAGGATACATTTTGATTCAGAAATTGAGGAAATCAGTATACGTACATTATGCCTTATTTCTCTGCACCTTTTCTCCTCAAGGTATCAGTTTTTCTCATGGTGAAAACTGGAAAGTGATGCGGCGGTTTGCCATAACCACATTGCGGAACTATGGAATGGGGAAGAGATCCATAGAAGACAAAATTGCTGAGGAGTGCAAAGTCCTGATAAAGAAGTTTGAATCTTATGAAGGTGGGTGGGGTGATATTTCATTTTTTAAGGTTTTTCTATTGAAATAGTATATTTATGTCAAGGTGTGATGGCAAGAGGAGAAGGGGACGACCGAGGATGAGATGGTTGGACAGTGTCTGCGAAGCAACCAACATGAACCTGACACAACTCCGGGAGGCAGTAGAAGACAGGAGGGCCTGGCGTGCTCTGGTCCATGGGGTCACGAAGAGTCGGACACGACTAAACGACTAAACAGACAGACAGACTGTTTTTACACCCAAAGACATCCTGTGTAACATTTCTTTTCAGTATTCAGTATTCCTTAGCTTCAAAACTCAAAAATACTGAGGAGTGGAATTTTATTTTCTAATGTACATTCAATGTCCACATGTATACACTGATAAATTTTTCATTTCAGAGTTCCATTTATGGAAATATCATTCTTTAATCGTTTTTTTGTACAGGAAAACCTTTTGAGACCATTACAATTATGAATGCAGCTGTTGCCAATATTATTGTGTCCATTCTACTTGGCAAGCGATTTAAATATGAAGATCCTACATTTCAACGACTACTACAATTAATTAATGAAAATGTCCATCTCCTTGGAAGTCCCTCAGTCATGGTAATTGAACTACTTTTTCTTGGAAAGTATTTCCATTCAATCTGGGTTGATGGTCTTGTTTAGGATTCACTGAAAAAGACAGAATTTGAAAATTGTTCTTCATGTTTACTCATTATGTTAGGAAACATGGACCATACTGAAAACTGTCCCTGTACTCCTAAGTTGCAGCAGTGGCAAGAGATGCTTTTGCAAGTGGCTTTTCTTTTCTTGCCCTCTCTCTTTTCTTGTTTAGTGCCGTAGATGCAGTCTTATCTGACCTGACCTGACCAGGCAACCATCATCCATTCCTTGCTCACCTGGCATCTTGATTAATGCAAAGAACTATACACGTGGCATCCTTTGAAGAGTGCCAGAAGCTTCAGTTTCTTCAAAATACAGCAGCTAACGTACTGACTGCTGCATAGTATCAACATCATCTGACCCTGAGCTACCTGTCCTGGCTGTCAGTTGTTTTTTTAGGTCCAACTAAGGGTGTTTTTAAAAAATGGGGGGAAAAACTTTAAAGCCCAGAAAGACTTAATCCCATAAAAGAGAGTGTTGTTGTTTTTTCATTGTAAGTGTGCCTTACAATGAGTACTCATCAACTCTCCCTACAACATTCTGAAGCAGACTCAGGGGATGATTAGACAGAATTTTCTTGGTGTCTGTGCTGCAGTTCTCGCTGTTCATTTCATTGCTTTTTCCATGAATTACGTGATGAACTCCTAGTCATGACTACAGCTAGCATTTTTCCACAGGTATTTGACACATTTTGTTCAGCTAGCATATTTAATGGCATCATCTCCACTTGCCCTGTGTTCTTTAGCTTTCTGGCGTTGTGGCATTCACCCTTTGTGGCACCTATGTGTTGTGCCTTCACAAAGGCTCACGTCGCATTTTCCTCTTGTTGCCACCAGTGGATTACCTCAATCCACAATATAAATGACGTTTGTCGGGACACTTATCTTGTGAATCCAAACAGAACTTATTTATTGAAGTGAATCAGATTTAATAATAACAGAAGTTCTTCAGATAATCATTGTACACAAGCAAGCCATTAACAGTACTTTCAGTACAGTGGTGCCTCGCACGACGACATTAATTCGTTCCAGCAAAATCACTGTCGAATGAAAACGTTGTAATGCGATATTTAAAAACCCATAGAAACGCATTAAAACCCAATTAATGCGTTCCTATGGGCTTCAAACTCACCGTCCAGTGAAGATCCTCCATAGCACGGCCATTTTCGCTGCCTGTGCAGTGAGGAATCCATCCCAGAAAACAGCGGGTGGCATTCTTTTTCACCTGGCAGCCATTTTGGAACCGCCGATCAGCTGTGTGAAAATCATCGCTTTGCGATGATCGGTTACCGAAGCAGGGAACCAATCATCGCAAAGCGAAATTCCCCCATAGGGAACATCATTTTGCGATTGCTTTTACGATCGCAAAAACATCAATGTCATGCAATTTCATCGTCAAACAGAGCGCTTGTAAAGCGAGGCACCACTGTACATACTTTTCTCTTACAATATCATTGCCACCTTCTCTACCTATTTTCTTAACTAGTCTTATCACTCTATATCTGTTCCATCTCTCTCTCTCTGACTAACTAAATTCTGACTCTGAGTCTGACTCCCCCCTAGACTGACTCAGGCTCCCTCTTTTAATCTCTTTCGGCTCCGCCTCTCCACCACAATGGCATAGTACATGAATGACTTATTTTGCGTAACATGCCTCCCCCCTTAAACATGTTTGTTTGGGGGAAAACATGTTTTACATCACAAACAAACATGCATCATTGCATAAAACTCTCCTTACCTTCTGGCAGCATTCTGCAAGCAAAAACAATAGACTATATAACAATCACAATATCTTAATACACTAAACATTCCAATGCAATTCAGTAATACAGTGGTGCCCTGCTAGACAATGTTAACTCGTTCCTTTGAAATCGCTGTTTAGCGAAAACATTGTCTAGTGAAAAGCCTTTCACACTGGAATGAATTGAAACCCTTTAATGCGTTCCAATGGGGAAAATACCTCATTGTCCTGCAAAGATTGCCCATAGGGAAGCCGCTTTGCGAACTGCCAATCAGCTGTTTTTAATTGTTGTGTTACAAAAAAAACGGTCCGCGAATCACGGTCCCACTGTCATAGGCTTGGCACCGCACCTCTCCAAATCCAACGTTCGATGCATCTGTGAAGATGACGAACTCCCGGTTTCTTAGTGAAACCTGCTTTCTTTCTGACTTGGGGCTTCACCTTCTCTGCTCAAGAAGGGGTAAGCAGTTGCCTCTCCTCCCCCCGAACATCTCTGGATGTGTTCTTCTCCTTGAAATGTCAGGACACAACGTCCTCCTCACTCTCCAATTCACCCACAGGTACTTTTATTGCAAGGCTTTCCATATGTAGGGAATTATAATCACTGGTCACTTTACGATTCTCAGGCAAGTTAGTACAATCTTAAGCGATTGGTTTGTTTTAGATGAACTGAGTGTATTATCTGATTCTATTTCTTCATTCATACATAAGTTAGGTAGGGGTTTGCCTTGCAAGGTTTTAAGGCAGCCTTTTCCAGCTGCAGAGCTAATAAACTCACTAGCGCTCCAGTTCTGCTGCAACAAATCTATAGGTTCTGACCCTGCCACAGGCAATTTACTCCCCTCTATAGATCTCAGTCCCACTACTTGGTCCTCAGGACAGAATGCTCTTTCCTGGGTCTCACTCAAGCCTTTCCAGGAGTAGCTTCCAAGCTTGGCTCTGCCACTTCTAAGGACTCCTCCCCATTAATTCCAAGGACAAATATCTGTTTGTGGGGTTCTCTATGAGGTGCCCTTAAACCCTCTGTATAGGTCAGGTCTTTATCAGTTAGAGACCTCTCTGGGTGTTCAGGGGTCAGTGGAATGGAACTCTGATGAGATGTTGTAATACAATCATTTGAAGTACTATTTGCCCTCTGCTCATCAATATAGAAAGTATTATTAGGATTTTCCAATTTGGTCACCTCAGCCATCTCTGCTATCTCAGGGCCTTTCAAAAGAATAAGATCAGCTTTAGCATGATTAAGCTAGCTAGCCAAGGAACTTTCTCTCTCCAGGCTTCCTTCTGCTACAGTATCCATTTCTAATGCAGTGGGTGATTCCTGGCCCCCTGGTAAGCGTGTAAGTGCAAAAGCAGTCTAAACATGCTCTATCAAGTCCCAATTAGAAAAGCAGCCGGTATTTCGTCCGAAATGGACACTTGCCACTTTCCAGACCAATTCCTATAAGTTATTTGAACCTCTGCTACTTTCAACACCACAGTTTCCTTCCCAATTCCTTTTAGGGTCATAGTTCTGCCTGGAATTATGTAGTCCTGATCTATCAGGTCTGAATGTGCGATAGAAATTTGAGAACTTGTGTCCCTCAGAGCAATGTACTTCTTTTCACCCACTACTATCTCTTCACCAGCGTTTTTAACAAGAGTATTGTCATTTTTGATGTAATAACAATGGACTATAGGGGCTTCAGGTATCTCCTCAAGATCAGTAGACTTGGTTGACATGGAGACAGAACTACCATTGTTACAGCCTCCCTCAGTGGCTTCAACTGGTTTTAAATAGTACACTTTCTTGGTCTGATTATCACCTTTCCCATTTTTAGTTTTTTTCTTCATACAATTGAATTGTAAGTCCCCAGACTCAGTGCATTTGTAACATTTGTACGTCCTTCTGTGGAGACTGTTAAACTTTTCCTCAGGGTTCATTTGGGTCTGAGAACTAAGCCGTGCTAGTTTAGGTAAACTACTACCCTGGCCTTCTTTCCCTCGTCCTTTGCTGAGGTAATTTTTATTAAAGGGTTTCTTATTGTTGTCCCAGTTCTGCTTGTTAAATTTTACCTCAGAGAACTTGTAGTCTCAAATCTTCCCAATGTAATCAGCTGTTTCACCAGCTTCTAATAGATTTTTAGGATTTTTATCTTGAACTAAATAGTGCAATCCCACAGACAAAATAGAATAAAATTGTTCCAACCCAATCACATTTTTCATCTGCTCAAGAGAAGTGACATTTTCACGTTCCATCCATTTCTCCAAACATTGCAGCACTTTAGACCCTAGCCTAGAATAAGCTTCTTCAGGCTTTTTAGTAAGGGAACAAAATTTTCTTCTTAGGTGTTCTGCATTTATGCCAAATCTAGCATATACCATCTTTCTAAATGTTTCAAAATCTCTAGCTTGCTCTAGAGGCGTCTGAGAATAAAGCTCAGCTAAATCTCCACTTATTTGTGATCTCAAAACATACTTTCATCATCCTTAATTTCAAAGTCCTAGCATGTCCTTTCAAATGAAATGAGGAACAATTCAGGGCAGTCTCCTTTTCTATATTGGGGAAATTTCTTTAGGTCAATCTTTCACAGATTTCCCTCACTAGCACGGTTATTATTGTTGTTATTATTTTGAACAGTAATTTCTAATTGTTTCATCTGTTTTTGAAACTCCATTTCTCTTTGTCTTAATTCAGTTTCTCTTTGTCTGTTTTCTTGCTCAAATGCCATTTGTCTGGCCTCAACTCTCTCCTTTTAACTGGCTTTTTCTTTCTCCATTTCTAATTGATTTTTCATAGCTAGCTCCTTCAATTTAAATTCCTGTTGTAATTTCCATTTTTCAAAATCTAGGGAGCCTAGATCCCTTTGTCTCTCTGAGGCATTTTCCTCAGTTTCCTCCTGTTCCACTGAAGCTAAAGGGTCTCCATTTCCCTCCACCTTGAGGTAAACTTTGTGCCTCTTGAGGATGAATTACCTCAATTACTGGCTTTTTAGTTCTTTTGGGTGGCATA